CCGCACCGCACGTTCAATCTTTTTGGGCAAATCTTCGCCTATTCCAAGACTTCCAAAAAACGACAAATGAAGTAAGCTGTCACTCCTGGTAAGATTTCAATTGATTTACGGATTTATAGCGCACATTCAAGCATTCGATGAGCTTAAAATATTTGACGCTTGTCAATTGAACGGAGCCGATACGTCTGTACGAGTCGTTTCAGGATTGTTACTCAAGCCGTATCAACCATTTCACCTTAACGTCTTGCAGATTCAACGGTCTCACTTGAATTCTAAATGATTTGCAGCTATTTTTAGTTCTGACGTTGTCTTCTTGTGGCTAGTGATGCAGTCAATCTGCGTACACTTCCTATTATTTTACGATAGTTGCTATATGTAACCCCTTTGCGCTGCAATAATTGTCCATAACGTTATTCTGATCCACTATACGGATGGATCATTTCAATTGCATCAGATACTCATGAGTGTTCCATAAAGAAAAAGGAACGAGCTTGAGCACGACGCTACAATCCACGATAATTCCGCCAATAGTCCTTAAGACGGTTGTCTCAACCCTTAAAATATGACCATAGCAAGTTCGAAGGCATTCGTCTATCCCACGTATCATGATTCAACATCTTCGGTAGTTAATAAAAAGCTTAAATTCTGCGAAAATCGACTATCTACTTTAAAGATCTCAATCGGTCTACCGTTAACGTCTTTCCCACTCATTTATCGTCAACCATCTTTGACCAACAGAAGAGCAACCTCTTTCGTCTGAACTTTCGTATTTGCTGTCGTACTATTCAGCTTTTGATTGGGTCCCAGTTAGCATCATAATATCGGCTTAGGGATGGTACGTGTGAAGTGGACAAAATCTGTACTTGGGCGCATTAAAAATGTCGCGTTCAGAATGTCTTTTACTTCCTCTTCGAAGTGGTTGTGACCTTTGACCTTTGTATATTCCTCGATACCTAACATGAAGGCGTTTCTTATCATCAAATTGACAAGCGTGATATTTTGTTAAGCTAATTGGTAATTAAATAGATATTGGCTCCTGTATCTCGAAGATCTTTGATCAATATTGGTCCTATTACCCGTGGTAAATTTCTCTCTCTACCTTTAAGTCGACATTCTTCCACGATCAACACCGCAGTCTTTTGATAGGTGAATTTTTTTCCTTTTTAATCATACCAAACTTTACCCTTGGCTCGAAAAGCACTTCCACACCAGTGATCAACAGATAATTGGGGTCCGTATGCTCGTCATTCTCTGAAATGGTCGGGATTTTAACGTAGCCTTTTGCGCTCGCGTCGATTGAGGTGGTAAGTGTGGTTTGTAATTTCTTATGCCTGTCTCTTCTAGTCGGATTACGACCGCAAACTCTCAGAATATCGTTGAATGACAGTGTGAAGATTCTTCGTCGCAAGTCCCCTTATGCAAAGTCGAGGGTTCTTGTCATCGACCAGTACTCAATCGGCTGCTTTATTTCTTGCACTTCTGACCGCAGTCAATGACTGGTGATCTTCTCCCCTCACTGGATATTTTTAAGCACTTCCAATGGACGACACGAGCCAATCTTTAACACTAGTAATCAAGAAGCACTTTACATGATCCGGCGTGTCAGAACCCTCTCCCTATACCTTACTTCATGCGTGCAGTCCGCGCTTCTTAATGCAATGGGAGTAAGAAATCTCAAACGTGATCATAATTGACGTTTTGCTGAGTAACAATGTAAGCTTCCAGACTGGGTAAATACTTAACAGCGATAGCCCAATAATTAGGTTTCGTGTCCGTTTTTTGTCAACATCATTCTGTAACAGCTCTATGCGGCTGTCCATATACTAATGAGAAAATTTGCACCAGCTGCCTGCGATTTACAAGATCCTTTTACCTCATCGATTTACTACTTGATTAATTATAGCACATCAACTTGTCGATGGAGTGTGCCTTCGAGCCTGATTATTTTCTCAACTGTAGCGTGGATCCAAAATTTTAATCCCTCACCTCGCTCATTCTCTTCCCCACCTACACTTAGTTGGCAAACGTAGTCCGACGGCGACTTAACGTACTATTTTTGTTTTTCTCGCCAAACCGGAGAAGTACCAATTCGAATTCGGAGTCGTAAAGCTATTGGTCACCAGGGGATCGATTGAAGGTTATTGTTCCTAAGTCACTCCTTGATTTTACCTGCACATTTGTCGCGTTCCGTTTCCAGGTGAAGTTAAGCCGCATGTAATGGGGTGAGCTTGTACATGTCATTGACATTAAATAATGTCAATGTGAACGTTATTATAATTTATACTGTTCTCCAATATTTATACCCATTTAAGTAGATATTGAAGGCATAATACCTTATAAGGTGATCTCCAGCACGACTCAATTTATTGGCTGATATGGGCCATGGTATGAACCAAATAAACCGCCAACCGAAACTAGACGCGCGCAATGAGTGGCAAGCGAGTTCCTACATTTGAAGTTTGTAGTTTAATGGGGCTACGATAAGATCAGAAGGGGGTTTCATTCAGCACTTTAGCTATATTAAAGATGGTTTTACTTTTTTCTTCTTCCGAGCGTTGCCCTTTGAAAGACTTGCCTCTTCTTCTGCACGTACCGTGTGCATTAGGTTTGGGATCACCTGTCTACACTGCGATCAGTGTGGGTAGCTCGTACTATGCCAGTACAAGCGGAGGGTGTAGTGGAGCTAGTACATCTCCTAGCCAGAGGAAGGATTTCTGATAAACGAGCAAGCTAGTTATTTACAAGGACTCGGCTCTACGAGCCAACGAGCTCAAGGCTTAGGTTCCTTGTTCAAGGAAACAACGATTTAGCAAATCGAATGCAACATGTGCTCAGTAGTCGATGCCTTTACAAGACTTGAGTCTCTTACAACCTGAGACGACTTAGAAAGGCACGTGTCTCTAACAGATCAAATGGAGAACTGATCTTTTTTCGATTGATGTAAAAGAACACAGTAGCCTAAACGTACATAATCTAGACACTAATGATATGATTAGTACCTTTTAAAGATCTTGTGTTAGTGGCTGACACAAGTTAGCCTCCAACAACTGATAATGTATTCAAATATCACTTTCGATAAGATCTCATCCCTGGTGTAAACCACACATGTTATATAGGTTACCAAATGATGTGTAACCCCGTCACGGAGAGTGCATCGTTAACCCGCATGCGTTTGAATAAAGAGATCGAAGTGTAAACGAACGATTGCTCTACCTCGTCGTCAGGAACCTCCACGCCTAAATGCCCGGTATATTCTCTTCCTCTTCACTGTCTCGATCATTCCCTTCGTAGTTGTCGTACGCTACACTTTTTTGTAAAAAAAGTCCATGAGTCCGTTCTCCTGTTTAGAGATTCTCAGCTATCGTCATTTTGGAAGCTGACTTTCTCAGCCATATCCTTAGTGTAGCGGAGCTACACAGCTCCTTAAGTTAGAGGAAGACTTAACGCTCGACGAGCAACTTTGGTTCAAAGAACCCGACTCAGAAAGTCAACAAGCCCAGAGAGCTTACGGTCCCTATTCCAGGGGACCAAACGATTCAAGATAAACATATCACAGAGTGCTCGAGAGTCGTTACCTTTACAGGCGTTGCTAGCTCTTACCGATCAAAGACGTCTCGTAAGGCACGTGTCTTGAGTGATCAAAATGGGAACTGGACTTTATTTCTGTTTATCGAAAAGAACACCTCAGAAAAACGAACTGAACCTAGTCACTACTATTATAGTCGATACCTCCTAAAATATCTCTTGATTCGGTGGCTGACACACGTCAGCCCCCGACAATTAATATGGCACTCGAATATCATTTTTAATCGAAATCCGTTCATTGTGTACCACACATGTTATGTAACCCCGTTACATTTGTCGTCCTTAAATGTATACAAGAAGTAGCGGTTAGCGCCGGCCGTTTTTCTCGAGCATTCGCCGAGTCAACTACTCGCTGAGTTCGACTCGATGAGTGTACCTCGCTGAGTTTGTCTCTCTGAGTTCGACTCGCCAAGTTCGACTTGCCAAGTTCGATCGCTAAGTTCGACCATCTATAACACTTGATGTACGTAGAGGAGATATGGGAGAAAGACGGAGAACTACACAAGTGACTTCATCGAAAGCGAAACCAGAATCAAATCATCCCTTGAGTGCAAAGCGCCCATCTGCCTACATATTGGGTGTCACGTCACTCGAAAAATTCGGTTGAATGGCCATCTTGCTCTTACTTGGTTGTGGTATCTGCTACGGTAGTCGCAACAACAAACACACAATTTGCTACAGCGCCACGTGGTAGGAAAATAGATATACTACGTACGTTGGAATGAAGAATATAATATACAGTAGTGTAGATGGTCTGGTCGTTTTACCTACACTCTCAGCATCTGTCGATACTTTATCCAATTTTCATTCCTGTCCAACTGTCCTCTGTTGATATTTCAACGATATCAAAAGAGGCCTTCCTGTTCCTGTTCCCGAAACGATACGTTGCAGATTGTCTTCCATTGAGGCGCACCACGCAACTTCAACAGAGGATGTTAATCGACTTCCGGCACACATACCTTGCCTATCATGTCTTTCCCGCGCACTCAATGTGTCGCATGCGAGGTATGTTGCTCATTTGCTCCGCGCTTTAAGTGTGCGCTGCAGTATTGCGTACATGAAACGAGTCGCCGTCAAGCTCTCTGCACTGATGCGCAATACCAGGATAGCGCAGCGGTGTTTTATAATGGATTTGACGAAAACAAAGCGCCTCCTCATTTCCGCTTGTAATGTTCATGACTACCTCACACTGTTCAACCCCAGTATGCATCTTGACTCCAGATGACGATGGACAGCGGTCGTCTACATGACGAGCGCACAAAAGTGCGTGTCGCACACCACTGCCGTCTTTTCACGCAAAACCGGTAGAGCCGACCGATATGCGGTACAATAGGTCTGCTCCTTGACAGATGCGTTTCCATCCCAAAGAATGTATAGCGTACAGTCCGTAAGTGAGAGGACAAGTGACGCCGCCCATGACCAGCTCCAGCGCGAAGCGCGTGTCGTACTTCTACCACCGTACGTCCGCATGTCCATCCGTGTACATATCTATCCACCCGTTTCGATCTGGATGTCTGCTGTCTCTTTCTTTCACGCCGTGTGTCGCTTCTTCTTCTTCCTCCTCTTTGTCTGACCCTGTTGTCTGTTGTGTACATCCTGTACCTCTCTCTCTCTCTCTCTGTGTTCTGTGTTGACTTTCTATAGCTGAAGAAGGGCACTTTTACTATGGTCCGGGTCACCCCATGAAACCGCACCGCATGAAATTAGCGCATCATCTGGTGGTGAACTACGACTTGTACCGCAAAATGGACATTTTCGTACGTGTCGAAAGAGCGTCTGCGGCACTCGCAGCTCAACAGAAGAGGTGGTCGTGCTCATCCCGTGGACACCACGTTGCTCTCTGTTTCTGCTTTGACAGGAGCCGCACATTGCATCTGCTGAGGAGATCAAGAACTTCCACGCACCGGATTATGTTGACTTTCTGCAGCGCATCAGCCCTAGTAATCAGAAGAATCTGGTCTCGGAGCTCCAAAAGTGTACGTGTGCACAGCAAAGACGACTTGTACAACGCCGACAGCAATAAAGAACCAACTGGCGGGTGGGACCAATGTGGACTGACGTCTAATTGTGTTGGAATTCGGTCGGTCGATGAACTGCTCCTCACTTCTCGACCCATTGTTGTGGTCTGTGCGGCTTTGTCGCCAGTCAACTTGGGCGAGCTGACGGACTGTCCTGTGTTTGACGGCATCTTCGACTTTTGCCAAATTTACTCGGGCGGCACGTTGGACGCAGTGAGTCGCCTGAATCACGGCCAGTGCGACATTGCCATCAACTGGGCGGGCGGACTGCACCACGCGAAAAAGTCCGAGGGATCGGGCTTTTGCTACGTGAACGACATTGTGCTGGGCATCCTGGAGCTGCTCAAGTACCACCCGCGCGTGCTGTACATCGACATTGATGTCCACCACGGCGACGGCGTCGAGGAAGCGTTCTACGTGACGGATCGGGTCATGACGGTGTCGTTCCACAAGTACGGGGACTTTTTTCCCGGCACGGGCGACATTAAGGTGTGGTGGATCGATGCTCCTTCCGCGTGCTCTTGCAGCAGCTGGTGGTGGTGGTCTACGCGCTTCTCTTACACGACGACTGCTTGTTGTGTGCACGTGTGTGCATGTGGGTATGTGTGTATGTGTGTGGGGGGGTAGGACATCGGCACCAAGAATGGCAAGTACTATGCTGTCAATTTCCCGTTGCTGAGCGGCATGACGGACGAAAGCTACGAGAGCGTGTTCAAACCGGTGATCCAGAAGGTGATGGAGACGTTTGCGCCCTCGGCTGTCGTGCTGCAGTGCGGTGCGGACTCACTCACAGGCGACCGACTCGGTTGCTTCAATGTCACGACTCGGGGTACGCTGTCCGTCCAGCACTGTGGGTGTAGGACGCAGAGCTCGAGCTTGTGCTGATGTCTGCATGTTGTGGTCGTCCGTAGGTCACGGCGAGTGCGTCAAGTTTGTGAAAAGCTTTGGTCTGCCGATGCTGGTGCTGGGAGGTGGTGGATACACGATCCGCAACGTCGCGAGGGCCTGGGCCTACGAGACGTCCATCCTGCTGAACGAAGAGGTGTCGAACAACATTCCGTACAACGATTACTTTGAGTTCTACGCGCCGAATTTCAAGCTGCATCTCGAGCCGGATCCGGACCTTGAGGATGCCAACTCGAGGGAGTACCTGGACGAGTGCAAGTACGCGACTATGCGCACTGGTTCGAATTAGAGGACGCTGCTCAGCTAACATGTGCATTGTGTGGCAGGATCAAAATCTTTGAGAATCTGCGAGCGCTAGCAGGGGTGCCAAGCGTTCAGATGAGTCAAGCCCCGCCGACGCACATGATGCGTGAAGAGGACGAAGATGCAATCGATGCGAACTCGCGCGCAGACAACGACGGAAGACGGCAGCACGAGGCTGAGTTCTATCGAGATGACAAGGATCAGCGAGGAAAGAACGACGATGATGATCATAGCGCGAGAGGAGATAACGGTCCTCGTCACGATACAGAAGCGGACAACACGGCACCAGATGTCATCCCGATGGACATGGACTAGACTGCGTGCGAGAAGCGCTTCCTCCGCACTCTCTCACACGTGTGCTGCCCCGCTGTACGTCGTGCTACGTGTACTCGAATGTTAAGGTCTGCATTCGAGTCGCTGCTGTTGCCGGATGAGCATGACGACGAGTGGAACCTCTTGTCCACTTCATTGCGCGAAACGACGCACCGAGGCAAACCTGGCAGCGTAGGTAGACACAGCACGATATGAGCACGCGTCCTTCGGGCATCTCGTGCCTTTCAACATGAGTGCCTCCTCGTTGAGCTTATGCGGTTCACTTCACTCGACTGTTTCCTGATTCTACAGCGTTTGCGAGCCGGCCTCTCAAAGCGCTTCTGCGTCTATCGAGTAGCTACAAACGTTCAGCCACGATATCCCGACACGAACGACCGCCACGTCGCCTTCGAGTCCAATGAGCTCCTCATGTTTTCCATTGCGCTGTTCACGCATGGACCGATGTCATGTCGCGAGTCGGTCGTTCACTCGTGGTCGCTGATCCTCGTGCCGGCCACACGAAAGCTACGGCTGCGCCACCATTTGGCTGTCGAAGCAAATGGCTACGCCCACGAGAATGAGCACCACGCCCGTGTATGTACCTAGTCGTGCACATTGTCAGCGAGGTAGACACGAGAAACCGGTGAGCATTCAATCGACAAACGGGTTCGACGGCACGCTCCGTAGCACGTACAGACAGGACGCTGGGGCTTTTCTCCGATCAAACGACTTGTTATTGCGGTGAAGACAAACGTCAGCGAGTTGCAAATGGGCACAGCGTGCGAGATGTCTGTGTCGCATCGTCATTTCCAGCAACGCTCACTCAGTACGCTCACTCAATCGTCGCCAGGTGACAACAGTTCGATCTGTTGGTGCACTTTTGTCGATCCGTTCGTTCGGTCCATTCGTCCGTTTGTCTGCACGTACCCACTGAGCCGAGTAGATAAACGTAGACGACAGACCCGCTCTGGTTCAGAGCAAATGGCAGCACAAACTGCCGCACGAATCGATCAAGTCTCAGATTGGGTTCCACCGCAACGGTAGCTACAACGGTCGAGCAAAGACGCCCGTCACCTGCGACAGAGTATCTGCCACCCTTTGCAACAACGTCTCACCTTCCAGTTCTTCACGAGTCCCAGCACCTGATTCGTGCATTCCCTCATGCTGTTGTCTTTCCGAGTGTACGTGACGTCGTCCATGCTCCCTAGTGACCGACACAGAAGTTCGCACTCGTCTGTCACATGTCAAGGCCCACTCGAGTCGACCATACAACGGCTATCAATACCTCGTTTGATGAACGGGTTAGTGCATCCCCAGAGCGCCCCCACGAAGAGGAACGACGCGAGGGTCGGCACGACTGACGCCATCTCTGCGACGGACGGACGTGGTGCGGAGGAGGTACAGAAAATGGTGGGGGGAGGAGCCCACCAAACCGAATTCGATCGGGTTGTTCAGTGGCACAAACTGACGGAACGACTGACTGGCAAAGACACAGACAAAGACAAACGGCAAAAGGCCACGGGGTGTCTCGATCCGACGAAGGATTGACGAAGGTCAGGGAGCGCGAGGATTCATAAATGGCTTAAGCAACACGTAAAATCATTAGAAGTATTAGCGTAAACGACATCGTCCAACGCCACGCGTTATTAAAGTGGTGCTAAATGCGGCATAAATGACCAGGTCGTTCTTTAGATGATAAGACTTAGCATTATGACTCAGCTAAATTCCAGCATCGATTTGCAAATATTTTGTGAAGAGTCTGGCGTGGATATCGTGGATGCTCTGTATACGCTGCACTCCTATCTATCAAGATGTTGCTGATGTTAAAAGTACGATTAAGTTAAGTAAATAGACTTGTATTAACACGCGTGCCCGACGCTTTTCGGCCCCCGCCGGGGCCTCGTCAGCGGCTTGTCAAAATACAACTTAGAATACCCAGCTTATATCTTTGTGGTGTCTATTACAACACATTGCAGTCAATCGAACATTTCATATATGCCCTAGCGTATTTTGAAAATCTAGAGTCGATCAAAATGCAACTTGCACTTCCGCCCCCCCTTCCGCTCGACGACATGGGAAGAAACCAGTTTACTTGTTAGAATGACGGGGTGAAGATGCCGAGCCAACTATACGCTAGTGAATAGCCTCCAGTAGATTTCTTGATGCTTGAGACCCGGCATCGGCTTTTCAGTTTACAAGGCGACGAGGCGTACGCATCAGCCTACCTTTAGCGATTAAAAGTTGGTGAACTGCGTTGCTCGATAATTACAAACAACAACAGACACGAAGATTCACATGGGCATTGACCTACATGATTTTAATTCCACGTGACAAGCTGGAGCGACCCGGACTTCGCGGAAAATAGAACCGGTCGCAGGTTATCAACTGATTGGGTTTTTACGATAAATGGAGTACTCTTGCAGTAGATATGCAAGAAACAAATTGAAGTATCATTGTTCACCGATTTAATTCGGCGTCGAACGTAGGAAGGGAGCTGCAGGGGATTGCGAAGAATGCTAAATGAGATTGGTCTTTCTGTGACGGAGCCAATGTGCATGTTGATGGATTATAAAGCATCAACGAAGCAGTCAGAGTGTAAAGAATTCATGCCAAGTACGAAACACGTGGATATGCGCAAGAGGTTGATCTATAAAAATGCCATAAGAGGTATAGTTCGACTGTTATTGGTGGAACCGAAGCCCATGAAGGCGGGCCTGTCAAAGAAAACGCAGCCGGCGCCGAGCGTGGTGGAGCTGCGAGGGATGTCATACGGTAAGTGATTGTGTGCGAATTAGTCGTTTGAAGCGCGTCGTCCAAGGGGAAGTGTTGGAGGAGCAAATGTTGCTGTGAAAGCATTGCTGTCGACCGACCACTTTAAAGTGACAACACTATCTATTCGTAGACGGTTTGAAAAAATTAGGCGAAAATGGATATTGCAAAGAGACGAAAGTGTCGTATCGGGTAGATACTGATCAGATATGTGATTTTACTCTTGCCCTGGCATCCTCTTCTAAACAGGTTATTAGCCCAAAAATAATGTCACTTACGCGATGGGGTCTGCCGTAAGACAAAAACATTTGCTGGTCTCGTAAGGGCCGGTAGTCAATATGGTGAAGGGGTAGAAGACAAGGCGGGGCGATGCCACGGACCACAGATGGAAGTCTGTAGGACTTTCTGACGAAACTAGCGGAGCAATCGGCTAAGATCAAGGCGTCACAAGAGCCCAAGGACCAGCTGAGAGACTAGAGGTCCAGTGTGTTTGAGATGGCAATTGCCAGGGACAGCCTTGAAATTGGGGTGCTTTTAATGCGACACCTCCGAGGGCTCAATCGCCGTACTCGTCTCCAAGTGTAACGGGGCACCGACGACTACGTACTGGTCAACCAGTACGAAGTTTACTATCACTGACTGTAGTGATAGTCAAAGCCCAGCTAGGTGTAGAACTACTTAGAGCAAGGTAGAACGACAAAGGTGAAAGACTCTAGTCGTAGGAAAAGTAAAACTGTTATTAATATAATTAAATCCTATAACTCTTGAATCTCTGTTTGTCCTGTCTTCATTATACTAATGTAACGAAATGTATGGTGACGTATACTCACCACCCATTGCGCGCGTCTAGCAGCGATTGGTGGGTTGATATTATCACGATATCAACCAATGAGTAGACCCTTCGGTCATCTTCAACAATATCATCATGCTCTGTGATATTGTAAAAATGAAATTCACCGTAATGTTCCTCACTGTCATTTTACCCTTAATGAAAATATCATATAACGGGCTACCCCGTTACATCACTCCTTCTTTAACTGATAGTCACTGCGTGACTATCTAAACCATTGTGGCCACCCGTTGAATGCCAACGGGACGGGGAGTACTTGTTAATCATATTCATTCTGACTTTGCCTCGAATAGTTAACATGTCTATGCGGGGTGACTCAAAGACGACACAGCCTGTTGCTGCGCCCGCCTCTGCGGCAGACAACTCGTCGTCTGCTGCTCGTTCTCAGGCTGTAGCAGGTGTTGCTGCCTGCGCATGCAGTATCGCACCTCATGCACAGAGTGACCCCGCGTTAGGGGTCAGCTACTCTGGCGGGTCAGATGTGTCTGACTCGGAAAAGCCTTTAGAGTCATCGAGTTCACCTGCGGTGCCTCGTTCATCAAGAGACTTGCCTAACGTACGGACTCGCGACATGCGTCACAGTCTGTTCGGCAGTGATGATGAATTTGGCGATGAGATGGGCTACTCATCACCATGATCAACTCGTGCACCTTCGCACGAGCGATTTGACGATGGTGTGAGCCGTCGTCATACTGATAACCGTGGTACCGGCAAAGTAACCACTTCGAAGCGTGATGAGATGAAGCCGTATCGTTTGCCTGAACAGCTCATCAATAGCTTCTCTCACGAGACAAGTCAACACCATCGCATACCCTTATTTGATGCAAGTAAGATTCACGGCTTCATATCCAGCGCGAAGAATTTTCGCGCTGAATACGACTTTTATCTCGATGTCATCCTTAGACATCGATCGTACAACGGCAACCTAAAGCGTGACAAAGCCTCGCTTTTGGCTGCGTGGAACGCGTTCGTCCAAAATGTCAAGAATTTCGGACGGGAAGGGTGGCTCAAGAAACTTGAGGCGGTACGCCTCAACTTCGAAAAGCGAACGCTACCCGGTGCGAGGCACCGGTTGCATCGTTTGTCGAGTGAGGCAGACATTCCTTGCCTCACTTGGGGAGACCCTTGTGCGAGTTGTGTTGACAACTCGCAGTGTGTAAATAGGTAGGTGTATTCCCTAAGTTCGCATTGGAGAAGGGCACACATCTCGGCTGAGATGCGGGACGCGATTGCAAACTTGCAATCCGTCTACAAGCGCCTAGGGCGCGTGTTTACCGATGGGCTCGAGGACATATCGGATGAGTCTCGTCATACTGGTGGACGAGACCTTCAACGTCAGCCATCAGCTAGTAACGAGGTTCCCAACTGTCATAAGATGGTGGAT